CCAAGCAAATGGCAGATTTGGACATGTGAATTTTCAAGCTTGTATAAATAAACATGCACACAAATGTCCTAGTCATAACACAAGAAAATTGAAGAATGACATTTTGTTGCTGTCGCTACTTCCTGGTTTCTGTGGACCTATTTGTAACTTGGTCTTGTTTGAAATAAAATCCTAATTTCTTCAGATAAATCTGTGTCCTGGGACTTTTCACTGAAACGTCTCACAAAGGGTTTTCAACATCACAACTCAGAACACAAAAACAGGAAATGAATTAATCAGGACAGGAAGTGCAAACTATATCCTTTTTCCAGAAAACCTTATCAGTGAAAATAATCTCTTATGCTGAAGTCATAAAGTCAAAATCACATCTTTGCTTGGATTTCACTGGAACATTATCCTGTTATCAGTTTATTATTGACAGGTCTGTCCATGTTTCCTGGTCTGTCAGGATATAAGAGCAGCTGTTTTCCAGGACCTGCAGACAGAAGAGCTGAAGCTTGTCTGACACTGAAGTGAAGGAAAAAGGTAATTTTGATGCTGCTTTGGTAAAAAGTTTTTATCTAACTTCAGTTATTTCTTTATTGAGCTGAGACTGTTTGTGCTTTTGAAGGTGATCTTCAATCTGCATCATGAAGACTCTGAATGTACTGATGTTTCTTTGTGCCTTGACGGCTCTGAGTCAAGCTGCTGGTGAGTTTCTATGACTTCCTGTGGATTCGCATTAAGGGAGACGTAGATTTAGTATCAGAAGGAGATGATAAAACTGAATATTTGAATTTTATCCACTAAGCTACAGATAAAAATAAACTGTTACGATTCTTTATTTCTACAGATTGTCTGATCTAATTTAGTCATAAATCTCTTAAGAAAACTTTCAAAAACATTTTGTACAATAGATATACATTTTTTTAATGATTTATGATTGTAAAGATATTCAATAATCCCAACCTTTACCTTCCCCAGGTGACAGCGAGGAAACTGAGATTGAGGAAACGTTTTATGAAGGTAAGTTCATGTTTTTTTATATGTGTCTATTTGACCTATAATGAGTCAAATTAATTATTTTTAGGATATAAAGTCTAACTCTGATCTTTGCTAAACTAATCTCTTCTTCCTGAAGCCGAAGTTGGAAACTGGACAGAACCAGCAGGTCAGCAACGTTTTCACCTCATTTTAGATATATTTGTTTTACTCTGCTATGTTAAGCAGAAGATAATGTTAGACGTCTTTTATGTATATATTTCAGATGTAGAAAATGGACCTGAAGCGGAGGAGGCTGATCCACAGGGTGAGTTAGTTTCCATTAAGTCCCAGATTTTACTCTTGGAATCGTCTCCATCTACAGAAACACTGAGACCGTTTTCAGTCAATATGATCAACAACTTGGAAGAATTTTCTTTCTCTCTGCTCCAAAAAAGAAAAAGTAAAGAAACATTTACAACTTTGATGAATTTGGGATCATCTCTGGTGGAAGAAAGTAGAAGAAAATTAGAGCCTACATGATAACTTTCATACTTTTGGAGTAATTCAACTCAACCACACATTATCCACATGACTTTGTACCTTTTGGGTCTGATGAATTATTTTTGTAATGTTGTTGCATGCTATGGAGAATAATTCTGTTCAATGATGCAATCATGATCTATTTTCAGTTTCCTGAGTCCCACAGCATCATAGGTCCTCTGCCATACTTACATTTTCCTTGTTTTAGGCCATATATGTCAGGACTGTTGTAGGTTTGAGCCCAGTTGAGTTTAATGAACTCCATGTTGGAATGTTGTCACTCTGTCATTATGAAGTGTAATAAAATATCACTTTCACTGAAGGTTTAACCACATAAACAGGCCAACAGATGCAGCCTTCACTGAACATTATGTCTGGGATATGATGATCTATGTGAAGTTGACCTGAGTCGGCATCTGTTTGTCTGCAGCAACAAATGATCTGCTTAGGAGTTCTTGTCCTCTTGGTTGGTCGCAGTTCAACCGTCGCTGCTTCATCTACATCCCCAGAACCATGACTTGGGCGATAGCCCAGGTGATCTAAGTCAATCTATTTCCTTTAATATTCTCTCCTTATATGTGTTTTTTATGCCTGAGTCTAACTGTTTAACCCATGAACTCCCTGTTTGTCTCGGCTGCAGAGAAACTGTGTGTCTTTGCAGGCAACCCTTGCATCCGTCCACAGC